GGCCGATGTTATGTATATCCCCGATGTTGACGGATGGGCCAGGAGGAATATTATTTCCAATGGAGATGGGTGGGCCCATCTATGCTGATATTATATATATCCTCGAAGATGTCGGATGGGCCAATGTAATGGTTCATTGTATAGATGGGTGGGCCGAGGGAGTGGTGGAATATGTATTATATAGACGGGTGGGCCAATGTAAGGGTTTATTGTATAGATGGGTGGGCCGACATACTGGAATTATTTTGTAGACGGATGGGCCGAGGGAGTGGTGGAATATTCATTATATAGACGGGTGGGCCAATAGAGGGGGATGTTATATAGACAGGTGGGCCGAGGTAGTGAGATATCTGTCTGACATTCATGGATTACCGAGTTTCAGATAAAAACCAAATCCCATTGTGCAACATCCATTCTGGACACCCGAACACCCCAAGCTCAAGACTGGAAACTGGAAACTGGTAAAAATGTGTGAAATTTCTATTTCCTTACACCAAACACATGAACACCTGAACACCCAAAGCCTGAGGCTTAAAAGTCCAGTTATCAAATCACTGAGTGCCGAGTCCTGATAGACCCGAAGCCAGAGACCCAAAATCCGAAGCCCAGAACCCAAAAACATGTATGCAAAATGTCCATTTTTCATTCATTGCACAAATCACTGAGTGTCAAGTGACAAAACCTGAAACTCGAGACCCAGTACACAAATCACCAAGTACCAAGTGCCGAGGGCCAAACAGCAAAGTCTGAAACTTAAAAACATGTATATAACATATCCATGTTTCAGTCATTGCACAAATCACCGAGTGTCGAGTGCCAAAACCCAAAACTCGACACCCAGTACACAAATCACCAAGTGCTGAGTGCTGAGTGCTGAGTGCCAAGGCCTGAACCCTGATGTCCGAAGCCCAAAACCCGAAAATATGTATATAACATATCAATATTTTTCTCACTGCACCAATCACAAAGTGTCAAGTACTGAAACCTGAAACTCGACACCCAGTACACAAATCACCAAGTGCCGAGTGCCAAGTGCCGAGGCCCAAGGCCCAATGTCTGAAGGCCGAAACCCGAAGCCTGAAACCTGAAAATATGTATCCAAATTATCAATATTTCACTCATTGCACAAATCACCGAGTGTCGAGTGCGAAAACACAAAACTTGAGACCCGGTACACAAATCACCAAGTGCCGAGTGCTGAGGCCTGAGCCCCAATGTCCGAAGCCCAAAACCTGAAGCATGACACCCGAAAATATGTATATAACATATCCATATTTCCCTCACTGCACAAATCACCGAGTGTCGAGTACCGAAACCCGAAACTCAACACCTGGTACACGTGACTACAACTGGACATGAATTCTGTATTTGTATGTATTATCCATTGATGTAGGGTTCAATGTTATTCTTGTGAATTGGGGATTATTTGAAGACTACGTTAAATGTTGGTCAGTGTCGAGTATGATAATGAATGTATAGTCATACCTCAGTCTGAGAACAAATAGACTGAGGTAGGATGATGCAGGTATGAGGATTATATATTTGTCTGGCATGTTAGCAATGATGTAAAGATGAGGTGTGCATTTGTACATGTGTGCAGTAAGTGAGCATAAAGATAAAAGAATGAATATTAATAGCGAGACTTGCACATTATGTTGAGATATCCAACATGACAAGCCTGTGATGGGATCAGAGACCTGGAATAACACCCATATATGTCCATTATAATAGCCCTAATAGTTTAGAAAGATACATGAAGGATTGATGTAATGACAGGCATATGTGTGAAATGTGACAATAGACATATTTTTACAAAGTCACATTTATAGATGATTCAGGCCAAAGATTTCATTAAAAATATGTAGGATAGATTGTAAACTACCTAAGGAACCCATACTGCCTACTGCCTTGAGGGTAGGGGTGGGTGGAAGGGATATAGTGAAAACATGAGTTGACTCAGCATTAAAGTCCTATTATTGCTTCACTGACCATTTTCGATGCTTTGGGTCTTTGAAGTTCCCACACTCCATTTCTTATCTATTTCACTTCCTCAGTACTCAATTCTTGGTGGATTTGTCTGTAAATTTATGTCTATGATACTTATTATATTTTAAATGTACTCCAGGTTTCTGATCATGAAGATTCAATGTTTTGAAGGTATGGGCCCCTTATCAGGAGAAATGGCAAGTATGCACACTAGCTCACAAACTCCAGCCTATTGTGAGCTGATCTTGGTCATAAGAGGCAATAATATAAGCTATGCTCATTATATATTAAAAGGTTGGATCATGGATGCAAGGGCAAGATACTGAAAATCATGAAAAATGTCAAAAGTGCAATGGTCTATGCTTACATGTAATAACGCTGTCTGTAATATTCAATAATGCGAAAACGAGTAAATATGCACTAGTGGGGATAGATGCGACTAGACAGGACATAGGAAGGATGAGTCCGATGCAAAAATGTTGGGTCCAAAACTTTCAGGCCGGGGTCGGGCGTCGGGATCAGGATTGGAATGTCAGAGATGTGTCAGACAAATACTGTTTAATGTGAGTATCAAAAACACGGGTTTTGAGCCCAGTGCCGCAACTATCATTACACCAGGTACTGAGTATTAGAACCAAGTACTGAGTACTGATTTCTAAGTACCGAGTACCAAGTAATGAAATAACCAATTGACAAGAAAAGACTACCAATACACTCACCTTGACTTGGACTACAACTTTCATTTTTCATTCTCACCAATGTTTCAGATTTCTTTAGCTTATATCTTGGTCAAATGATAACCAATGGACAAGAAAAGACTACCAATACACTCACCTAGACTCGGACAACAACTTCCATGTTTTCATTATCTTTGCGTATTGCACACCGGGTTTTGAGTTTCGGGTTTTGGCACTCAACACTCGGTGATTTGTGCAATGAGTAAAAAATGGAAATATTGCATACATGTTTTTGGGTTTTGGGCTTCGGAATTTGGGCTTCAGATGTCGGGTTTTGGGCCTTGGCACTTGGCACTCTGCACTTGGTGATTTGTGTACCGGGTCTCAAGTTTCGGGTTTTGGTACTCGACACTCAGTGAGTTGTGCAATGAGGGAAAAATGGATATGTTGCATACATATTATCAGGTTTCAGGCTTTGGGTTTGGGGCTTTGGACATCAGATTTTGGGCCTTGGACATTGGAGCTCAGGCCTCAGCACTCAGCACTTGGTGATTTGTGTACCGGGTGTCGAGTTTCGGGTTTTGGTACTCAACACTCGGTGATTTGTGCAATGAGTGAAATATGGATATGTTGTACACATATTTTCGGGTTTCGGGCTTTGGACATCAGGGTTCGGGCCTTGGTGCTTGGCACTTGGTGATGGGTGTACTGGGTGTTGAGTTTCGGGTTTCAGTACTTGACACTTGGTGATTGGTGCAGTGAGGGAAATATAGATATGTTATATACATATTTTTGGGTTTTGGGCATCGGGTTTTGGGCTTCGGACATCGGGCCTTGGCACTTGGCACTTGGTGATTTTTGTACTGTGCTTTGAGTTTCAGGTTTTGGCACTCGACACTCGGTGATTTGTGCAGTGAGGGAAATATGGATATGTTATATACATATTTTCAGGTGTCATGCTTTGGGTTTCGGGCTTTGGACGTTGGGCCTCGGCACTCGGCACTCAGCACTTGGTGATTTGTGTACTGGGTGTCGAGTTTTGGGTTTCAGTACTTGACACTTGGTCATTGGTGCAGTGAGCAAAATATTGATATGTTATATACATATTTTCGGGCTTCGGGTTTCGGGCTTCAGATATTGGAGTTCGGGCCTTGGCACTTAGTGATTTTTGTACCGTGCTTTGAGTTTCGGGTTTTGGCACTCGACACTCGGTGATTTGTGCAATGAGTGAAATATTGATATGTTGTATACATATTTTTGGGTTTCGGGGTTCGGACATTGGGGTGCGGGCCTCGGCACTCGGCACTTGGTGATTTGTGTACCAGGTGTCAAGTTTCGGGTTTCGGTACTTGACACCTGGTGATTTGTGCAGTGAGGGAAATATGGATAGGTTGTATACATATTTTCGGATTTCGGGCTTCAGGTTTCGGGCTTCGGACATCGGGGCGCGGGCCTCGGCACTCGGCACTTGGTGGGGTGTTCGGGTGTCCAGAATGGATGTTGCACAATGGGATTTGGTTTTTGGGCATCTGGGACTCGGTAATCCGTGAATGTCAGACAGATATCTCACTACCTCGGCCCACCTGTCTATATAACATCCCCCTCTATTGGCCCACCCATCTATATAATGAATATTCCACCACTCCCTCGGCCCATCCGTCTACAAAATAATTCCAGTATGTCGGCCCACCCGTCTATACAATAAACCCTTACATTGGCCCACCCGTCTATATAATACATATTCCACCACTCCCTCGGCCCACCCATGTACAAAATACTTCCTGTACGTCGGCCCACCCATCTATACAATGAACCATTACATCGGCCCACCCGACATCTTCGAGGATATATATAATATCAGCATAGATGGGCCCACCCATCTCCATTGGAAATAATATTCCTCCTGGCCCATCCGTCAACATCGGGGATATACATAACATCGGCCCATAGTCCGCTGGCCCGTCTTATATGGGATATTATGTAGGTCGGGTGATCCGTATAATACAGAATTTGTCACTGAAGGGGCTCTAGGCTTTCCAAGTAGGTGGTACCTGAACAGGCTGAAGTGTTGATGATTCTGGAGGAGAGTTAGGCATGGACCTGTAGGTTATGCAATATTGGTTGTTCATTACAAATTTATTTCCATTAATGGCATCATGTCTGATATGGGTTGATTAACCAACTGTTAGGCTTTGCTCAAAGTTCAACTTTGAACCATTATTAATTCTACCTTGCTTATCCTCAGCACATTCTGCAATCTGAGTCACCATGGCAAGATCAGGTCATTCCACTCCCTCAACTTCTGAAAGGGCATGTCAACCCTAGACACAGAAGCTCATGGAAACCAAAATTTCAGAACTGAAGAACTACCTCCCTGAGTGGACTTCTGCCAAGGATCAAGGACAAGTCCAGGGCAAAGCCAGGAGATCCTGGTATGTTCAAGTATTATCAGGTGGCTGTGAAGGGAGTCATGGCTGAATTGTCCAACAACAAGTTGGAGAAGATGAAAGAAATGGCATAAGAATGGTTCAACAATTTTCCTCCTCCTGAGATACAAGCACAGATTGCCTGTAAGAAGGGACCTGCATATATGGAGCACTTTTTGAAGGAGATGTGGAGGCAATGTGGGTTGAAAGTGTTTGTCTTGTCAGCCTGGAAGAAGAAACAGGGAGAGGTGCTGTTTGGGATATGAGTAAATTTTACCTGTTATCACAGATCTTTCAACCCAATATATTTCATGCAGGTACAATGATAACGAGGCATTAGGAGATGGAGACAGCTTCATAAAGACAAAGAACTGGGAGGACATCGAGCCAGTGTGGCAGGAGTATGTGCAGGAACAGTTTGGCGAGTGTTTAAACTATAGATACCCAGAGAATGTGTTGATGGTCTTGATGATAGGTGCTGGGGCATGGGTTGGAGGCCAACAGGTAAAGGGAGGTCGCAAAGGAATCAGAAAACTAGTCTTTGAGCTCAAAACTGACGAGAATGGGATGCTATTGCTTCCAGACATCGTCCAAATAAAACTCGAGGAGAAGAAGAAGGCCATAGTGAGGGCTTTTCTCATATCACACTATCATGAGTCTATCCTTGCTACATCCGAGATGTTGTTGAGGCTCATTCTTGCACTTACCAAGCTCTTTGCACTTTGATACATTGTGGTCACTTTGGAGCAACAGGATCCTTACAATCAAACATGCGAGCACATGGAGATGACAGACATTAGTAACATGACCTTTGTCATGAACCTCTTGAAGGCAAATCCTGCTTACAAGTTGAAGATGGATATGGAGATCTTGAAGTCACACAACAGGATCATCAAAGTGTATAATTTTTACCTTCAATTAAAAGGCTGGCCTCAAGATCCTCCTGTGGAGCAAATTCTCTCTGCCAAATTGTTGTTTTGTTTATCTAATACCAAATGCAGCGAGTATCGATTACTTAATCATGCTGGTACATACTAAGAGTATTTTGGACTTACTGACACCTTAGTCCATTACACGACAAGTACAAGACTGAGTATACATTCTTTTATCTAATTCCTTTTTTTCCACATGTCACTGCAACAAACAAAACCAATGGGAAGTTCCACGTGAAACACTGTGTCTTCACAAAGTCACTATGTTCTTCACAGGTAGAATTAAAGACATCTAGTAAGAGACATAGAGTTGGGGATAATTAGCCATACAGGCATATTGCCTTGCATTTGGTTCGGTGGCTGTCTCAATTACCTTGTGTTGTTTTTAGCCTTATGATACTTTTTGAATACTCGCTCTGTTGCATTGCATATCAATCTTGATTCATGACTCACATACACAACATTGATTACTGCAATAGTAAGGCACATATAAGTAACAGCTTGAATAGGAAAATTGGATGTCTCTTGCCCCAAATGTGCCCACTTATACCCACTTGGATAACTTAAAAGCATTCATATAAGGTCACCATGTTCGCAATATTATTGCACTATGCAATGCATCCCAGACAGATCACAATAATACGGACTGGTATTTAAACAAGTGAGTGAGTTTGCCATTTTTACAGGATGGTGCTGATTATATAAATTGGATACTACATTGTGGCTATTCTTCATAGGCCTCATCCTGTCATGGGTATCAAGATCTCATTGCATATCACTCAATAGCTAATTGGTCTGCAGGAGCACATTCCTTTGAAGCGAAAGGCTATAGATCACTTTCTTGACAGTTGTGAGCGGCCCACTCACAAGAGACATACACCTGCCTTCTAGAATGGAAAAAATGTATCTTTGCAGGATCCAATCCACTCAGATCTTCAACAGGCTCAGACATTATTGTTTGTACATGACTTTTCCAAAATTGATCTAAGGATGTCCAGTAAATTGATAAGGTATAATAAATGTTGAACATACCTGTTGATATCTGGGACATGGTTGATTCATCCACATCCATTGAGTTATATTCAGTGACTGGAGGGTCATTGAATCTAACTATTGCAGGAGAGTTCATGTTCTGTGAGGAACTGATCAACTGATTCACTGATTATTGATCACTTCAAAGTTGAACACAAGGTGCCAGCAATTGCCGAAAGTTGAACCACAACCAAACAAAGACAAATAATCAATGAAATTTTACATTGTGAATCACTGATCTTATTTCTACTGAAACATCAGCCTTGTGATAACTGATTTGAACCTGAATACAACTTGATTTCCACCTGATCTCATCCTTTTCAACATTTTCAACTCAAACACCATATCTAATCCAGTTGACACCCCTTTGACCGGCCTCAAGGCAATTACTGCCAAGATCATCATCATCATCACCAGTGCTCGGCAGCTTCCTCCGGGACCCAGCCACTATTCTCTGGTATACTAAGTCAGTTCATTTGTGGTATGTAGCATTGTCTTTTTTTTCCTATATTTTTTACATCATCCAGGCAGGCTGAGGCGGTCAAGGAGTATGGGCATGGACCCCACCTTCCTGGCCTTTTGTTATCATGCTCAAAGGAGTTAATGCAAGTTCAGAGAATGACTCCTCAGGTCTGGCCGAACTGGCACAGCATTGGGTATGATGATACCTGTTTGTTGATGCCTGCCTGGTGCAGCAAGATTGTTGCATGGGAGGCTTTAGGTAACTACACCTTTGACCTCCTGGTTGTGGCCGGGCTTCAGTAGGTCCAATTCCAGTGGACCTTCCACCCTCACCTGTCATGGCCAGGCCTTTCACCAACCCTACCTCCAAGTCCTGGGAGAAGGGAAAAGGTAAGGCAGTTGTCCCAGACCTGGAGCCAGAAGTGGAAGGGAGTTGGAAGAGGAAGTCTCCCATGATTCTGGCACTTCCCTCCAAACCACCAAAGTCCACTATGAAGACTTGGAAGCAGATGAAGACAATTGGCCTTGCCAAGTTCAAGGTGTTTGTTGAGTCGGAAGATGATAAGGACTCAGTCACTCAGGTATGTCCTCTGGCTTGTTTTCTTATTGTTTTATTTATTTTGTAGCTGATTTCGCGTGGAGTGGTGGAGGTCGTCCTTCCCCAGCTCTCCACAGATGTTGCAAGGACATCCAGATCCCCTCAGTCACCCCAGAGCCCCAAGAAGAAGAAACCTTTTGGGCCTGCTACGGTAAGTTGTATTTTTGCATCCGGCACTCGGGTGGGTGCTTACAATGTGCCAGGCAATTCAGACCATTCAGTCACTTGACACGTAGAATGAGTACCCTGGTCATCAAAAATGGCCGTAGAATGTGTCTCACCCAGTATCGGCTGGCTGGCATAGACATGCGCCTGGCCGGTGGGTATCAGTTGCCAGGACCGCACCAGCCCCATTGGCCACAAAGCAGGCAGGCTGTGCATGTAGACCTAGTGCTGGCCAGATATGCCTGCATCATGCCACTGACTGGCATGGCATCTACACACACATACGGGCCAGCTGGCCTTATGTGTGGCATCAGTGCTGGCCAGGCATTCCTTGACCATGCTACTGGCCAGCATGGCATCTATGCACACATACAGGCCAGCTGGCCTCATGTGTGGAATCAGTGCTGGCTGGGCATGCCTTGACCATGTTACCGGCCAGCATAACATCTACATACATGTATGGGCCAGCTGGCCTACATGTGGCAGCAGTACTTGCCGTGTATGCCTCAACCATGTAACCGGCCAGCATGGCATTTATGCACATGTATGAGCCAGCTGGCCGTACGTGTGGCAGCAGTACCAGCCAAGTATGCCTAGACCATGCAACTGGCCAGCATGGTATTTATGCACATGTACGAGCCAGCTGGCCTTATATGTGACATCAATGCCAGCCAGGCATGCCTCGATCATGCAACTGGCCAGCATGACATCTACGCTCATGTATAGGCCAGCTGGCCTTATATGTGGTGGCATTAGTATGCCTTGACCATGCTATGGGCCAGCATGGCTTCTACACACCTGTACGAGCCAGCTGGTCATATATGGGGTAGCGGTATTGGCCAGGTATGCCTAGACCATGCAACCCGCCAGCATGGCATCTATGTACACGTACAGACCAGCTGGCCTTATGTGTGGCATCAGTGCCAGCCGGACATGCCTTAACCATGTAGGCCAGCATGGCTTCTATGCATACCTATGAGCCAGCTGGCTCTTGGTGTAGTTCAAAGGCTTGTGAGGCTGGCTTCAGTTCTGTACTTTTCCTCCACTCAGTAATAGAAACATGAACAATGTATTGCAGACACATGATGTGATATAACATACTATTCTGAATCAAATTCTCAAGGCCTTCTTGGAGGGAAGTCTAGCTCTGGAAGATCAGCAAATATTGTCAGTGCTGGACTTCTTGGAACCAGTTGCTGATGCCCCCAACTTGCGTCTTTTCTTCCCTCTCTGTTTGGCCTCCACCTCCTGCTCCTGCTCACCTGCCTGTGATTCCTTCTCCCCCTCCTACTCTGAAACATGCTGTTCTTCACGGTCGCTCACCTTTTGAGTCTCATCAGCATCATCCCCCTGGTGTGCCATGATTTCTTTCTCAAGCCTGTGGGTCTCCTCCTGAAGCTGTCTCCTCTTCTCCTGGGAGCCCCTTCAGTGACAAATTCTGTATTATACGGGTCACCCGACCTACATAATATCCCATATAAGATGGGCCAGCGGACTATGGGCCAATGTGATGTATATCCCCGATGTTGACGGATGGGCCGGGGGGAATATTATTTCCGATGGAGATGGGTGCCTATCTATGCCAATGTTATATATATGCTTGATGATGTCGGATGGGCCGGGATGAATATTTTTACCGATGGAGATGGGTGGACCCATCTGGGGAATATGTACAGTAGGATGGACATGTATATTATAGACAGCTAGGCTGAAGGGAGATCAGAGGCAATCATTATTATATAGATGTGTGGGCTGATGTAAAGGTACATGGTATAGCCAGGTGGGCCAACGTACAGGAATAATTTTGTAGACGGGTGGGCCAAGAAAGGGTGGAATATTTATTATATAGACGGGTGGGCCGAGCGAGCGGTAAAACATTTATTATATCGACGGGTGGGCCGAGAGTGCAGGAAATTATTTATGATATAGACTGGTGGGCCGATGGAGGGGAATGTAATATAGATGGATGGGCCGAGGTAGGGAGATATTGTGTAGACGTATAGGCCAAGGTATTGGTTTACTATATAGATATATAAAGCACTTGTCTGACATGCATGGATCGCCGAGTCCCAACACCCGAAAATTGAATCCCATGGTACAACATCCATTTTTCAACGAGAAATCACTGTCTCGAATTCCAGACGCCCAATGATCGGAAGCTCCAGACTGGACACTAGATACTTGCAGGACAGGTCTCGGGTCTTGGCACTCGGTGAATCAATAAGTCAATGATAACAAAGGTAACATTGATTGAAAACATTGCATATACATCTATGACTATTTACAGCTGATTGCAATATTATGCGGAAACGCACAAGTTGAATTTGCATCTTGGAAACACCCGAAGTAAGACCCCGTAAGTGTTTGGCTTACTGCATCTCATTCAACGACGCACTCACCATGCCGCCACACACAGTTTCACCAGATCTAAAGGCTCGCATACCTGTTTTGCACTGACATGGGTATTCCGTCACACGAATTTGCCATTTACTTGGTATCAAGAAGACTCTCGTCTACAAAACCATCAAATTGACTGGCACCTCATCTCAACATGCAAACCATGGGATTCGTGGCCACCATCGCAACCTCAGTATAGACGATATTGCCTTTCTGACTACTATCCTTCATCGAAATCCCACTATGTACCTCAATGAACTACAACACGAGTTGCGGGCTCGCCGTGGTGTTTTTGTATCTGTACACACACTGTTCCACACCTTGCACAGGCTACATTACAGCCACAAGAATATCTCGGCTCGTGCTCTTGAACGAGATGAGGAACGACGTGGTATATTTATGAACAATATTGCCGAGATCGCACCAGACCCTGAAATGTTGATGTTTGGTGATGAAGCTGCGAAAGATGAAAGGACATTGATTCGTAAATTTGGACACTCGAAAATTGGAACAAGGTTTGCTTTGTTTACAGATCAGTATCAGTTTTGGCTAATTCATACCAGGTGTATCCAGAGGAAATGTTTCGTGCAAGGCAAACGGTACTCCATTTTGCCCATCCTCACACTTGACGGAATCATTGCCTATGATATCATCAAATGGCCTGTGACAAGTGAGAGATTCGTGCAGTTCTTACAAGAACATGTGGTATGGCTTGTAATAATTTTGTGATTCTCGCGGATTGATTTATGAATAGCTGCCCTTGACCAACCCCTACCCTGGTCCTCGTAGTGTTCTCGTATTGGACAATTGTCATATCCACCACAGCGAAGAAGTCCGACGTGTTGTAGAGGATGAGGCTATGTGTAAACTCGTGTTTCTATCCTCCGTACTCACCAGACTATAACCCCATTGAGCAGGCTTTTTCTTCTATCAAGTCTTACTTACGTCGTCCTTTTCTCGATAAGTCCTTGACTGTTATTGTACAAGCATGCCAAAACATTACACCTGATAAAGCAGAAGGGTATTTCCGTGCTTCTGGTTATATTGCCTAAATATTTCTGATGTATTTCTACCTGAATGTATCTTCATCTTCGCGACTACCTTCTGCATCAAATGTATACCCTGGTGGAAAGGGAACCCACTCTCGTCTGTTGCCGCAAAAGTGATAAAGATCATAATCAAGATCAGGACACTCCCCTAAATCTCGTGAGTCCAGATTGCATGACAATCATACCATCAAACTCACCAGGTGGCCGCTCTTCGATTCTCATTCTACTCCCATTGATGCGTGCTCGTCCTCCATCATGGTATCTTTTTTCATACTGGTATCTCCGGTCCTCAGGAATCTCGGAATTGGTAGTATCACTACGTTTATGTTTTGTACTCTCCATTAGCTCATTCTTTGCAAGAGGGCCATTCCACCAAGTGACGCTTTCTTTTTTCAAACGAATGATGTCACCTGGGGTGAGCCCAATGCGAGCGAGTTCTTGGTCAGCAATCTCGACAAGGATGTCTGGACCAGCTCCAATACTACACAATGATGATTCATACATCATTGCCTGGCTAACACCAAGTTCCTGCTCAGCATACTCCAGGAAGTGAGTAAGTTTCGATGGTGTCAATATGGCAGGTGACTGAGTAAGCACAGAAGCACGGACTATAGCTGTTGAAGGAATTGTAGTGTGGTCTTGGTTACGGGCAAGATCTTGAACTGTCCGCAACAGAAGCATTGAAGTGGGTGAGCTAATGTCATTGGCATTTACAGCGGGAGGTGCCATAGATGTGGCTGATGCAGTGCGGCACATTGGGTGCAGCACAGGCTCGCGTTTTGCAGGATCGAATGATGGGATATTTGGTGGCATCGAAGTCGTGGCTTCACCATCATACTGAGAAAACACAAGGTTCAACTAGAGACACATAAAGTCGCTACAAATCAATTACCATTGCACGAGCCCAGTCTTTCACCATGGCTGGGGTACAAGGAATCTCCATACCACTCGTGTGAATGTACATAATCGAGTTGTCATAGTCATTACCCCACTTCTTGATAATGAGTCGTTGATAATGAGCAATTTCACGCTCGAGCTCTGAAGCACCAGTCTACAAGAAGCATCATTAAACAGCCGAAATTGCGAGATCTGTCTTTGCAGTCGAAATACCTCAACAACAAGCACAGTTTCCTCATCCTCAGATTCTCCACTCTCATTGGTAGCAGCATTTCCTAAAGAACTCTATTTCTTTGTTAGTTGAGGTATTACAAAGTTTTCGAGGCTTGCCTCATGGGTAGAAACAGGCAGTTTCTCGACATTCTTCATGTCAATGAAAATCTTGATATTTTTGAGTTTCTCAGAAATGATCTTCTTTGCCATCTTGGCATAATCATTCTTGTTGTCGACATCCATGGCTTCCATGCGGCTATAATTGATCACCTGAGTAAGTGATATCCCATCGTTGCCGTGGCATGAGTCAGATGATCTAAGGACCGACATACCTGCGAGAAGCACCAGGAAGGTATTTAAAAGTGTACCTTTTCTTCTTGGTAACCTTATAAAGTGATTTGTCGTGCTTTGCAAGCATAGTTGTGAGGAATTTGAGGTAATTGGGTGCGGAGACATGAAAAACAACTTCTTTGACCTTGGTAGACTTCACCTCCTTGACTTTGGTTTTTCCATTGTTTTCTGTCGAGTTCTTTGCATATGTGTCAAGATTTACAACAAAAACAGTTTCAAACCGAGGTATTTCTGGCTCAGGGGATGCGGAAGGTGAAGCCATCACTGGTCTAGGCGGCACTGTATACTGACTGCGGATCACTCGCAGTGTGCTCAGACTGTGCTTACGGGAGCTTACTTCGGGTGTTTCCAAGACACAAATTCAACTTGTGCGTTTCCACATAATATTGCAATCAGCTGTAATTATGTAGTCATGTCAACATCCTCACCAGAAGGTTCACCCTTCACTTGAACATCCATCTCTTCAACTGAATCATACTCTGGGAAAAGATTGCCCGGATCATCCGGTTTCACAATTTTGCCAGGCGTCTGTGAAACCTCAGGATGAATTTGGTTGAGCTCAAATATGAGTCCGTCAATGGCAGACTCATCCTGGAGGTTGGGGGGGTTGGGCTGCATCCCTTCCATAGACAGGTCAATGAGAGGAGGAAGTGCGGATGCTGGGGTTGACATGGCCGGAGGGACAGGTTGATGAAGCAAAAATGATGTTGCATCACCTTGGGAATCCAGAAGTGGAAATGTTAGGTGCTGGAGGATGATTTCACATTGAAGGCCTTCATGAAGGCATTGCAGGGTGTCAATATTAGCATCCTGCTCAACAACATGCTCCTCGAGAGCGGCAATTTGAGCTGCACCCTCCCAAATTGCCATTGCCATGGCATGCAAATCCAGCATTGGCACATCGAGTGCTGAACGAGGAACTCCGGAAGTTGAAGATGGGACTGCTACAGGTGGAACATTATGTCAGATGGACATAGAAAATTTGGCTGACTTACGAGCTGGTGCAGGTGTAGGTTCCTTGGCAGCAGTGACAGTCTTGCTGCGACCACATGTTTGTGCCTTTGGTGTTTGGGCACGAGATGGACCGGGAGTGACGGAAGAGACCCGAGATTGACTCCACATCCGGCTGTTACAAGAACATCTAGATGCTTGGGCCCCTACCATTTTTCTCCTAATCCTCCTCGTATCAGCCCTCGCATCATACCCTTACCCTGACCTTACCCTGGTCAACCTTGTCATCCTCGCATTCCCTTTTGCTCTCTACCTGTCGCTGCAGCAAAGCCAGTACATCTGGCCGGACCCTTTCGCTGACGAAGCATATCCATGCTCCGTTCCTCCACCTGACTGATCCTGTGGATAGTCCCCTTTACCCTTACTGTCCGGACGGTAACCTATGATACGATGCACGATGCATCCCCTCTGCCCTATTTCCTTTCCTGATCTCTGACTCGGTGCGCAGTCGCACATGCAACTTATACTTAGATCCGCAGTTGCACGATCGTGCCCCTGCACGTTTCACTTCTCATTTTCGATCGTTGACTCACTTTCTTATCAAGCACGTTCTACCTCAACCGAACGTGCCTTCCTGTTATAGTTATACCCTTTATCAATTGCCTCTCCTGGTAGTACGAGTTATCACCCACTAATACGTCTCCTGTCCTCTATATAAACTCGCTACCATGTACTATATTCCCTAACTTGAATCTACTTGGTTCTTGACCTCCTACTCTCACCAGAGTGATCCCTCTGCCTCGCCAGCAGTCTATATTCTATCTTCTTATCTGCTCCTCGCGGATCAGCCTATAGTCTCGACCTTTACTCATCGACTTCGTCGACGAGCAAAGCCCCTGTTAACTAGTCAGACTTCCGTCCTTCTAATTAACGACGATCTTACGATTAACCTTCGGGTGTCGTAAGCCTAGGCCGATATAGCTTATCGTCTTGCACCCGCGTGACATAAGCTACCCGATTTGGACATAGGCGTCAAATCGTACTTGCCGAAGACACGCCAAGTACGACCCCTAACCTTGGGCTAGCCCAGGGACGTCCTCGACTGTTGACGACACAAGCTCTGTTTGAGCATCGCCAACAGATACCATCCAAGTCGTAACACCGGCTGGTGGTTTGTGAGGCGGCTGGAGCTTTGGAGGGAGCTTTGGAAGGGGTCTTGGATCTGGTCCTCCTGGTGGTCCGGGTGACGGATTGACCTCGAACACATTTCGGCAGGGTTCCCATACTCACGGAGATGCACTTGATCTTCTTGGTGGTGCAGTAGACACAGGACATGCATGGGGTGCCGGTCCTCTTGTCAAACCGAGTTGCGCAGGGCCATTCCATCTTGTGGCAAGCCTGGCAAGGGTTATTCTGTGCAAGGCATCAGTTCATAGACACACCAAGTCTCAATGGTGTACTTACGGGTCCAGGAATGAGTATATCACTTGCGTCGATGACTGGGGGTGCCTCTACCGGAGGTTCGGGAGTTGCCTGAGGGGGCTCGATGACCTCCGGACATTTTCCGGCAATTGCCTAGCACATTGTAAGGACTCATCCGAGTGCCGGATGCAAAAGTGCGACTTACCATAGCAGGCCCAAAGGGTTTTCGCCCACTTCCAAGTCTTCATAGCGGACTTCGGGGGTTGGGAGGGAAGTGCCGGAATCATTGGAGACTTCCTCTTCCGACTCCCTTCCATTTCCTGTTCCGGGTCTGGGACAACTGCCTTACCTTTTCCCTTCTCCCAGGACTTGGAGGCAGGGTTGGTAGAAGGCCCGGCGATGACAGGCGAGGGTGGAAGATCCACAGGAATTGGACCTTCTGAAGGACCAGACATGACCGGGAGATCAAAGGTGGGATCACCTAACTCCTCCCAGGCAAGAACCTTGCTGCGCCAGGGGTGCGTCAACAAATGGGTATCGTCATACCCGATGCTGTGCCAGTTGGGCCAGGCCTGAGGAGTCATGCCCCGAACACGAATTAACTCCCTCGAGCACAAACACACGAGACCTGGAAGGTAGGGACCACTCCCATATTGCTGGACCGCATCGGCCTACCCGGATGATGAAAAAAATGAAGTGGAGAAAATATGACAATGCTACATACCACAAGTGTACTGACCTGGGTTGTCAGAGAAAAGTGGCTGTGGCCCGAGGAAGCTGCCGAGCACCGGTGATGATGGCCATGATCTTGGCAGTGATTTCCTTGATGCTGGTCAAAGAGGTGTCAACTGGAGTAGACATGGTATTTCAATTGAAAGTGTTGAAAGTGTTGAGATCAGGTTGAAATCAGTTATCACAAGGATGATGTTTCAGTAAAAACAAGATCAGTGATTAACAATGTAAAATTTCATTGATTGTTTGTCCTTGTTTGGTTGTGGTTCAACTTTCGTCAATTGCCGGCGCCTTGTGTTCAACTTCGAAGTTATCAATAATCAGTTCATCAGTTCATCAGTTCATCACAGAACATGAACTCCCCTGCTACAGTTAGATTCAATGACCCTCCGGTCACTGAATATAACTCAATGGATGTGGATGAATCAACCGTGTCCCGGATGTCAACAGGTATGTTCAACATCCATCATACCTTATCAATTTACCGGACATCCTCAGATCAATTAAGTCTTGGGCCGGCTGATGACCCAGAATCATGTTCTGTGTCATCCAATGGTCCGGAGGTCTTTTCTTCAATTTCCGGTCAGTTTATCAATTGATATGATGACAATCTAATCATCCATGGTCACTCAAATCTCACAGATCATTCACCTCTGGCTCAATGTGATCAACCAGGCCTCCTGGTTTACCCAGACCTATACCTCGGGCCTGAGGATGACCTAATGGCTGGGATGCATGGTGAGTATTATTTAAATGATCTAACAATGCATGTTGACACAAAAATCTTGCAGATCAGTCACTTCCGGCCCAACCTGATATGCCAGGTCTAGCCATCCACCTGGATCTCTACCTTGGGCCTGATGAAGATATTATGACTGAGATCCTGGGTATGTCCATCAATTGAAATGAAAAGTCCGGTCATCCCTGGTTACTAAAGCCTGACAGATCCATCACCTCCAGCCCAACCTTATCACCCAGATGTACCCATCCACCCTGACCTGTACCTCGGGCCTGATAAAGATTTTATGCCAGAATTCCCCAGTCTGTCAATCAAAACATCTCACCATCCTTGTTCACTAAACCCTTACAGATAAATCTCTTCCAGCCCAACCTGATCAACCAAATTCCCCCATTCACCCAGACATGTACTTAGGCCCTGAAGATGATCTGATCAACTGTGAGGTGAAGCAGGAGCATGCTGATTTGGATGGTGAGGTCTCAGGTGCGCCGGTAGTATCGAGGGCATGTAGGTTTCTCCCTACCATCCAGGTTTCCTTACTTAATTCATCTCCCAAGTGATGGCAAAATCTCCCAAACGTGATTTGCCACACCCGGATGTCACTTATGAAGAATTGCTTGCCATGGTCCGGGATCTCCGGCCATTTGAGTCTTACAATCACATGGGCAGTGAGTATCTGATATAATCTTTCTGCTAATTTGTCTCTTAGTTCAATCCATTCAAGATCGGGTCTGGGATTACAAACAGCGACACAGACATATTCCCGACCCATCCATCCAACAACTACTCGAGGCTGAGAGACCATTCCAAACTGCCTGGGCAGAAACATCTGACAAACTCAGAAGAGCTGATGAAGACCTCCGGAGGCTGCAATGAGCTGAATGTTTGACTTCCGAAAGGCTCAAGGTATTAGATTCCCTCATTCTTAGGTTTGAAGATCAAATTCAAATGTAAATTACACAATTTCTGTTAGTAGACAAATTACCTGTGAACTTTTGAATGTTTATGAACCCACTCACGTCATGTAAACTACTTAATTATGGATGTATGGAACTCCCATTTCTGATTTATTCACTATCCGAGGACTACCGAGGCCTGAGTATCGATCACCGGGTCAATGTTTCGAGTCCGGCGCACCAATAACCTACTTCCCATTGCATGACATGGATATGTACATAAGGGGAGACAGTGTGGAATAAGTACATCACTTCCTTCCCCTTGCTCTTGTCACCCGAGGAGTACTGTCTAATGGCTTTGGCATCAACTTACTCCGGGTGGTCCTCGCCGATGGCTCAATCACCACTTTCTTTCCCCACATCCTTTTTGGAGCTGGCAATGTTTTCCTCCCTTCCATTGCAACATCATCGTCAACCTCACCAATGTTGCCATTGGTTAACCCTGCCAGGAGGTCTCCCATTCGTGATGTCAGCAGTGCACCATGTTTCGCCGGCTTGACGGGGCAAGGCTTCGGAATTGACAGTGGGATTGCCGTCTCTGCATGTGATGATGAAGGACCTTCTCCGGTTCTGGTTCTCTTTTTCGGTGATCGACCATCAGCCGAGTCATTATCATCATCATCATCATCATCATCATCATCTGTATGATGAGTGTCATTCCCGAAATCACTGTCAGGCTCGGAGGATGAATCCCTAGGGCTTCAGATGATTACCCTTGGCGTGTTTTTGACTTTACCTGTCTGATGGGAAGGCGACCCGCCTGATACGACCAATGCTACCATGTCGCCATCTTTGTTCTTCCACTGCTTTGAATGTGAATGTTGATCCTTCGCCTTTCTCCTGCCGAGTATACCAGAAATTGAGGAGGGCTGTCGTGTCCCAATTTTGCAACTTGGAAGGCTCCTTCAAGTCGACATCCGCCAGAAGATATCTTTGTGACACAAAGTCATCCTGCATTGAAGGATGGCGCTCCATGGCACTACTGCCTTGTCAATCCCCAAACAAATCCCTATGTCGATGCATTCAACAAAGTCCCGGATGTAGCAAGGATTGACTCACAATAGTGCGATGTGAGAAAAGCCCTGACTATGGCCTTCTTCTCCTCAAGTTTTGTTTTGGTGATGTCCGGAAGCAATGGCATCCCATCCTCGTCAGTGTCGAGCTCGAAGGCTGGTTTTCGGATTCTCTTGCGACCTCCCTTCATCTGTCGGCCACCTTCCCGTGCTCCGGCACCTATCACAGAGACCCCCAACACATCCCTTCCAGTATCAACAGTTTAAACACTCACCGAACTGTTCCTGCACATACTCCTGCCACACCGGCTCGATGTCCTCCCAGTCCTTTGTCTTCATGAAGCTGTCCCCATCTTCTAATGCCTCATTATCATCGTGCCTGCGTGAAATATCTTGGGTTGAAAGATCTGCGATGACAGGTAAAATTCACTCACATCCCGAACAGCACCTCGCCCTGTTCATTCTTCCAAGCTGACAACACAAACACTCTCATCCCACATTGCCTCCACATCTCCTTCAAAAAGTGCTCCATATATGTAGGTCCCTTCTTACGGGCAACCTGTGCTTGTATCTTGGGAGGAGGACAGTTGTTGGACCATTCTTTGGTGGTTTCTTTCGCCTTCTCCAACTCGTTGTCGGACAATTCAGCCATGACTCTCTTCACAGCCGCCTGATAATGCGTGAACATACCAGGATCTCCTGGCTTTGCCCCGGACTCATCCTCGATCCTCTTCAGCACCTCTTCCCGATTCTCCTGGTAGATCACCATCCTAGGCGTCCATTTCCTCCCATACTTTATCATATCCTTCCTTTCCTTCTTTTTCTTGTTGTTGAACAACCAAGTCTTGTACATCTGAGCATTGAAGGAAGTGTAAGACATTAAAAATTTTGTTTCTCATCGCAACAAGGATGTATCACCTGCTTCCTCTTTTTCCATTGTCCTTGGTCCACCTTTTGTTAGAAGAACTGAGAGTTCAAAGTCAATGCACATGATATTATTGTGTAAATAAGTAAAGTACTATACCTGAGAGTTCAAAGTCAATGCACGAAGCATGTAAGACTTGTGAACTCTGCACTATGGGCGAGTCTATGTAAACAAATATAAACAATTCCTAGTATGGTATGTGTCCCCGAAGTGTCTTAGAGGTCTGTCCTTGAAGTGTCCTCAAAGTCCTCAAAGTCCTCAAAGTTATCTACTAATATAGTAATGTCCTTGAAGTGTCCTCAAAGTCCTTGAAGTTATCTACTAATATAGTAATGTCCTTGAAGTGTCCTTCAAGTCTTCGAAGTCTTAGAAGTCTTCGACCTATCTAGTATGAAGTCACCACACAACTAACACCTTTGGCGCAAACAACCTGGCAGCCCTGGCAATTGCAGTGAAAACTGCCCACTTCTTGCTCCTTTTCGCAGAAGTCCACTCAGGAAGGTAGTTCTTCAGCTTGGAAATTTTGGTTTCCGTGAGCTTCTGTGTCTGGGGTTGACGTGCCCTATGTCTTCCAGGAGACAAGCAAGTGGAATGACCTGATCTTGCCATGGTGACTCTGATTGGTGAATGTGCTGAGAGTAAGCAAGGCGTAACTAATATTGGTTCAAAGTTCAACTTTGACCAAAGCCTAACAGTTGGTTAATCAACCCATATCGGACATGATGCCATTAATGGAAATAAATTTGTAATGAACAACCAATCTTCCTGAGCTAATGGTGTTCTTGCAACATTCGAAAATAAGATGAAGATAGGTCTATGCACCCCGCTGCAAAAATCCCACAGGGTAGAAGCAAGGGGCAGAAAAGGTAGGAAAACTTGGGTCAAGGTCCTGCTTGCAAGTGCAAAACGACATGCCTATAGGTCCATGCCTAACTCTCCCCCGGAATCACCAACACTTCAGCCTGTTCCGGCACCACCTACTTGGGAAGACTGTCCTGATAATACTTATGAGCAAGACCAAGGCTCATTCGAGCCTTTGCAGCTTCCAAAAACAATGGCAAGTGAATGTAAACCATTGGAGTGTCGTTCAAACATTGCTAAGTATAACACATGCAGAGCCAGAATGACTACCTGAGGTAATGGCTCCCAAAGCAGGAATCATATCTGCATCACCTCCTGGATCAAGAAGCTCCTCCAGAAGATAGGAGATGCGTTGTCTGCAACCAGGATGGGGTCTACAAATGTCAAGATTGTCTTGGGGAGCCACTCTATTGCACGGGATGTTGCAGGAGTCAACATTGTCGCAATCCTTTCCACTGGATCAGTTAATGGAATGGTCAGTTCTTCGAGTAAAGTTGTCTCGCTCATGTCGGACTCGTCATACGCCTTGGTCATGATGGCAAAGAATGTCCTGCACTCGCAAATAGGGGATTTGTTCAAAGGAGATGAACCCGAGGACCAGCTTGAGCCTGAAGATCTACCATCCGTGTCGGGACCAGAGTTCCAGCCTAAGGAAAACACCATGGTCATCGTTGACAAGTCCAGAGTTCATCGCCTCAAGGTTCGATGATGCGATTGTCCAAACACCATGAGTCCAGACATTCAAATGTTTCAACATGGATTTTTCCCTGCATCATTCAACAAACTGAAGACTGTGTTCACCTTCAGAGTGCTCAACAATTTTCTATTGGACAACCTAGAATGCGGCACCTCCACAATGAACTATTACAGCAAGCTCCGGCGAATGACCTCCAGCATGTTTCCTCACCTTGTTCCAGTAATTATATATCTCCTTCATCTAAAGGACATTATATTGACAAGGCACTTGGCAAGGACTGATACAGAGAGCTCATGAGAGTCGCTTGACAGTGGAGGCAGTTGAAGACCATGAAATGGCATGGCTTCGGTCATCGTTTCAATGCCCCGAATGCCAGAGATCTCGCATTGTTTTGCCTAACATGTCCTCCGCCTGGGATCAACATATCCTTGTCAGGGAATGAAACACTTGATGAGTGAGTCTAGTTTCATACTTAAGTGACCTAAGTGATGATAAGAACTCCAAGCTGGAAATATACCCGGTCATTTGTGATGGACAGTAATTTCAAAGCCAAACACTTGCATCCCATCAAGCCATTTGATGAAGTATGGCTTGCAGATGGGCTGGGGTTCATGGTGGGAAAGGACAGGTATAAAGTGCATCTTGCAGAGGCTGCTGACACTTTGGAAAAATCTAGCTGCAACAATCACTGGGCAGTAAATCAAGCAAATGCGACTCGGCACAAGCTGGAGTCGACAGGTATCGGGGGAGTTGCTTGTGCCTGCCATGGCTGCTTTGTGCCTTATGTGATGGTCAATTTCCAGAAAGGCAAAAGGCAAGCCGAACATGAAGTTCTACATTCACAAGTTGATCATGCATCGTTTGCAGACAAATGAACATGGATTATGCCCTTTGCGAGGCTGCCCAGCACAACATGGAAGGCATTACCAGGGCTGTCACCTTTTATGACATCAACTGTCAATACAACAAGCACCTTCGGGTTCAGGTGGATCAAAGCCGATTTCTTGAAATGGTACTGGAATTGACCATCATTCCCAGCATCGGTTTGTGGCACGTGCATGGACATCAAGACAGCTGCTATGTCCGATATGCGTCGAATTTCATTGAAGGCATTGGCCGGATAGATGGGGAGATCATGGAGACTCTCTGGGCACATCTGAACCTAATTTCCCCCACTGCTCAGGGAATGTCGTCCCCTCATCGACAGGAATGTCTTGATTTTCAGATGAATGATTCCAACTTCTGCAAGATGATCCACATGAAAAGGACCCTTTGCCGTAAATACAAGCAGGGAAAAAATTGCATTGCTAAAAGTGAAAAGGCTTTCGACTGTTACGACTTGGATGGTATCTGTTGGCGACGCTCAAACAGAGCTTGTGTCGTCAACGGTCTGTGGACGTCCTTGGGCTAGCCCAAGGTTAGGGGTCGTACTTGGCGTGTCTTCGGCAAGTACGATTTAACGCCTATGTCCAAATCGGGTAGCTTATGTCACGCGGGTGCAAGACGATAAGCTATATCGGCCTAGGCTTACGACACCCGAAGGTTAATCGTAAGGATCGTCGTTAATTAGAAGGACAGAAGTCCGACTAGTTAACAGGGGCTTTGCTCGTCGACGAAGTCGATGAGTAAAGGTCGAGACTATAGGCTTATCCGCGATGAGCAGATAAGAAGATAGAATATAGACTGCTGGCGAGGCAGAAAGGATCACTCAGTTAAGAGTAGGAGGTCAAGAACCAAGTAGATTCAAGTTAGGGAATATAGTACATGGTAGCGAGTTTATATAGAGGACAGGAGACGTATTAGCGGGTGATAACTCGTACTACCGGGAGAGGCAATCGGTAAAGGGTATAACTATAATGGGAAGGCACGTTCGATCGAGGTAGAACGTGCTAGATAAGAAAGTGAGTCAAAGATTGAAATAAGAAGTGAAACATGCAGGGGCACGATCGTGCAGCTGCGGATCTAAGTATAAGTCGCATGTGCGACTGCGCACCGAGTCAGAGATCAAGAAAGGGAATAGGGCAAAGGGGATGCGTCGTGCATCGTATCATAGGTTACCGTCCAGACGGTAAGGGCAAGGGGGACTGTCCACAGGATCAGTCAGGTGGTGAAACGGAGCATGGGTATGCTTCGTCAGCGAAAGGGTCCGGCCAGATGTACTGGCTTTGCTGAAGCGACAGGTAGAGGGCGAAAGGGAATGCGAGGATGACAAGGATGACAAGGGTAAGGTCGGGGTAAGGGTATGACGCGAGGGCTGATACGAGGAGTATTAGGAGAAAAATGGTAGGGGCCCAAGCGTCTAGATGTTCTTGTAACATCGACAGACTCGATGAAGCAGCACCCGCCAATTTGAAGACAGAATGGTTGGCCAACAAGATGATCGCTCAATCCAGCAGAATAAATGATCCTGCGGCAATGGATGTTTACAAGATAAATATCAAGAAGGGTAAGCTGACCATGTCTCCATAGAAGTCCGAATTAATTTCGCACTCAGCACCGAGCAAAAAGGAGATCAAACTTGGACTGCTAGAGCAGGGTAATGCCCATAATGCAGCACCATCTCGGAGATCTGTGGCGACATCGATATCTATGGGGTTGGCAATCAAGGAGGCTCAAATTGCATTGCTCATTGAGGTCCAAAGAATCGGAAAACGAACTATGGAGACACAGAGATTAGACCTTGCCTGGCAACGAGATTGTCTCCAAGGCCAGATAGATGGATTCACACATTCTGCTGTCACGATCTCGGAGAGGGATTCGATGGAGATGACGATCATGACAACTTGAACGTAGACATCCTAGATGATCTCGATGATGACCCAGAAGATTTTACTGAGACATCTGATACATGGATGAACTCGCCCAAGCTCATTGCGATCCCATTGCCATCAAACCTCGGGGTAGATTGATGCAGACACTTGATGGCATAGGATCTCATTCTGCTGGAGATCTCCCTTCGCGAAGGGCAGGCAAATGATGCACTTCACAACCTCCGCATTCACTTGTGCAACGAGGCAGTCCTATTCCGAACGACGGTCAGGCAAGCCAAATCTCAAGCCCTGAAAACTCGAGCCTGGTCGCAGGTGACGTTAGTGCAGCAGGCTGTCTCCCTGCATGCGAGTATATATACCAAGACCAGAACACAAATGATGAAACTTGACACGAGGCATGGCCAACTTCAGAAGTACAAACCCCTGCTTTGTGAGCAGCTCAAAGTCAGCACTGCCGTGGGTGATCCGAATGCCCGTGGTCAATGAAATGAATCCCTCATGTGGTTCTGGTCCATCGAGGTCGACATGCATGGTCCGGATCAATCATGGAATGAGGAATGTGAGTTCCCTAATGCTCGACACGTCTGACATTGAGCTGACCGGACAAATATGAAGTTTACCAAGTTCACTGGCTCCAGGCAAAGGCACTACAGGATCGATGGAAGGAAGAGCTGATGTTGGTCCAATTCGAGATGGATTGGACATGTAACTTTTTCTTGTGGAAAGCAACCCAATGGGGCGACCAGATGCAGGAATCATTCACGAAACGACTTCCGGGTCATGCATGCTACTCCGGAAGGCAACCCTGAATGTATTCATTGCTGGCGCAGGACGCCCAGGCAGCGTTTCAACACCTGCAGACTGTTTTGATAGATTCCCAAGATGAATGAATGGTTTATTGCCGATGGGATATAACAATCATTTCGATATACAAATTTAGTCCCGGGAATTGGCCGGATCAGCCCATGTCAGAGTTTGAAAAATTTATCCATCCATCAGTGGATGATATCTTCACATCTGAACCAACTGTCATTGTCATTGCCAGTGTGATACTCCTGCATCAGCCATGCCTGAATTATATCCTTCTCCTGCATCCACTTCTGACAATCAGAATTCCCTCAATGAGTACTGGCCCCTCACTCTCACTCCTGCAGACATTTCAGCTACTATGTTGATGTCTGCATCGCACATTCACGCATCCATCTCCCAATATCAGGCAGAGGCTGCAAACAACAATCTTCCCCCTTTGGCTCGGATCAGGCACTTCAAAGCTGGGCTGCAATGGGAGATCACTGTAAGACCCTGACGACACTGGTGGTTAATGCTGACATCTTCCACAGACTTTTGTCATGCCCATCCTCCAGTACTCAGCTGTCAGGAACATCATTTCGGTCGTTCCCAGCCCTATTGCTCATATTCTTCATTTGATTCCCGGTCACACCTGGAACACGGTTCCGGATCACATCTTTTCCTATCACATCTGTTTGTTTCATGACATTGCAGATCCCAGAGATCCATCCTGGATTGTATCCGGCTATGATACCCCATGGTGGATGGGAGAAACTGAAATCCCGAACGAACCATGGCAATGGGATCGGGTGATGACTTGCTGTATCTTTCACTACCAGCATTGGCTAGTAAGATTCTTATTCCATTTCCTTGATTCATGACTGATCTGCTCTAGGATGGCATTGAGAATGATGGTCTGACAATTCCGGAGCAGGTGGATCATACCTCAGTTCCATCACTGATGGGACTGAGGTGGATTAGAGAATGCCTCCTGACATTACTTGAAGAGCAACGTGAGGGCATCCGTGACAAGATGGCAGAGATACAAATCTACACTGCCATGCTGGACAGATTGAAGAGAGGCAGAGGAGAGTAGCTCTAGTCACTCAGTTGGAAATGTTGAAGTGCAAGTCGCATATGTGTTTTATGAGTACTGAAAATTGCTTGTAAACATTGCAATATCTAACATGATGTTATATGGCGAGTCCCGAAATAAATGGTGCAGATGTGCATCACCATGTCCTGACCACCGAGGTCCAGATATCGGGTCCTGATTACCGGGACCCCATTACCGAACTCCGAATATCCAGTTTCGAGTTCTGAACGTTGAGTACCGAGTGTTGAGTACCGAATGCTGACTGCTGAATATCAAACTCCGAGTTCCGGATCTCCATTACCAATTTCCGACTCCCAGAATTTAACTACCGAGGTCCAAATATCGAGACCTGAGTGCTGAGACCCGATTTCCGAACTCCGAATATCAAGTGTCGAGTTCTGAATATTGATTACCGAGTTCTGGATATCGAGTCCCGATTACCGAGTTCCAAAATGTCGGGTACCGAGCATCGACTACCGAATGTTTACTGCCGAATATCAAACTCCAAGTTCCGGATCTCCATTACCAATTCCTGACTCCCAGAACGTAACTACCGAGGTCCAAGTATCGAGACCCAAGTGCCGAGACCCAATTACCGAGCTCCAAATATCAAACTCCGAGTTCCAGATTCTCCATTACCAATTCCCAACTTTCGGAATTTACCTACCAAGGTCTGAATATTGAGACCCGAGTGCCGAGACCCACTTACCGAACTCCGAATATCGAGTGTCGAGTTCCAGATATCGAGTCCCGATTACCGAGTGCCGGATATCAAGTCCTGATGACCGAGTTCCAAAATGTTGGGTACCGAGTGTCAAGTACCGAATGTTTACTGCCGAATATCGAACTCTGAGTTCCAGATTCTCCATTACCAATTCCTGACTCCTGGAACATAACTACCGAGTGTCGAGTGCCGAATGTTGACTGCTGAATATCGAACTTCAAGTTCCAGATCTCCATTATCGATTCCCGACTCCTGGCAGTTAACTACCGAGGTCCAAATATCAAGACCCGAGTGCCAAGACCCGGTTACCGAGCTCCTGGCCTTGATGACTGTCAATAGGATCTGAGTCTAAATACAATGATAGCCATCGCCCCAGTACCATTTTCAAATTTGTACAGCAGCATTCATACTTACATTTCTTTGCTTCTCTGTGCCCTTTTGACTTGTAGGTTCCTTTTGCAACAGACCGTTCTTCTTAGCATTGCCTAGGGTAAGGTCGATGATATCTTCTGTGCTACTCCAACCCAGGGCCGGCCTTTTGTAACTGCGCCCCACAACTGAACCCCCACTCTCTCGTGCTGAATGTGTTGGTGCTCGAGTATCATCAAGAGACACGGAAGGCTCTGGACAGTTATTGTATGCATCTGCTATGGATTTCGGACCTCGAGTGTCATCAAGAGAGACAGTTCATACTTGGTAGTCGAAAGCAGGTACTGATGCGGGTAATTACACTTTCTACTTGTTTCATCTTCCACATGGTGGTAGGGTTTGTCAATCCACCCTAGCCCATCCGCATGAGGGAACCCTGGCATAAATATGAACAGAGTCCCTCATATACCATGCCCACCCAACCCTATCCCCCTCCACCTCATGAACCCCATGTCTGACAATCCTTCCGGAAAATCCAATCATACGATATGGGGTTTGACGATTGGAAATGATGGATAGCGTGTTAAACACGGATGCCCAGTACTGGAGGATCTTGGACATTCTTGGCAGTTCCTTGCTTTCTGCCTTTTCTCCGAGGCTTGAAAATGTTTGTAACCCTGCCCAGTACTGCTCCGGATGCATGATCCTGAGCGCCGCTGATGCGATGGCTGCCAGCCTTGCAATGGCATTTAGGATTCCCTTGGACAATGGTCCCTTTAATGATGCAGATACCTCCGTGTCTGCTAGATTCTATGGGATTGGTGTGCTCAACTACCAAAATCATCATCCTATCAAATCCTATCTTATGCCCCTGTTGAAACCATGCCAGAGATAAATTAATGCACCCGGCAGGTAGGCCAACATCTTCCGAGCAGCATTTGAACCACTCCGGATTGGTTCGCCAATTCCCATCAACCTTCATACTTCTTTCCAAACTCGGAGGGTGGCTGCCAAAATTTCCTTCTGTGGTTACCATTGGGTATTTAATATATATTGAGTAACAATCTATATCACACACCTGTGTTTTGGCTGTCAGGGCGTCTGGGAGGTACCATGTGATGATGGTGCTGGACACATCTAGAATGATGGCGGGTATGTCCACAAACCTTGTCCCCTTATGGCCGGGAGGACATCTCTTAAGCAACTTCTCCTCTTTCTCCTCATTGTGCATGGTGTTCTTCGGGGAGATCAATCTGCTATATCTTCCAATGTTGATGTTCATCTGAACTGTGATGAAGGAATTTGAATGATCAAATGAATTTTCCAAATCTGCAGGAAGACCCACTCGGATTTTTACATGCCTTTATGAGGCGATCTACCAATTGATTGCAGGCCATCACTAGATCAGTGTTTAGGTTAGGAGAAGGTATCACCGGGTCTCCTCCTGTCTTCTCTGCATTGAATTTCTGTGCAGTATATTCACATGCCTCGTGAGTGACTGTCAGGGCCCAAGTGCGCCAGAGGCTTATTTCAATTGCAGAAGTGGAAGAACCATTCATGATGAAGTCAATATTGGGAAATCAGAAGCTGAATTCTGGACCAGAGGTTGGTGTTAAAGGGGGTGGAGATAGTCAGGATCAGATAAGGGAGCCGAAATACCAGATCATTGGAAGTGTGCTGGATATCAGATATTTGTTTGTCGACTCCCGGGGCTCGGATCTTGGCATGCTTCACTCAAATTTCGGTAGTCGGAACTTGGCATTTGGTGTTCGGTAGGTGGTGAACATGAGATTCTGATAAGAGAACCTTCCATGATGTTGGCTGTCGAAGATATATTACCACCCATTGCTCAATGAAATACCCGATCATTGGAAGTGTGCTGGATATCAGATATTTGTTTATTGACACCTGGGTCTCAGAACTCAGTACACTTCACTCAAATTTCGGTAGTCAGAACCTTGCTTCTCATACAGCAATGCAATAGTAATGAACATGCAGCTGCAGGAACTCATTACGCTTCACCCGAATTAGCTACTCAGCAATCGGTACTGCATTTTTTTACAATTATCATTCACCTGTGCCCACCTGTCTATATTATATACCGCCCTCGGCCCACCCGTCTAATATAATATATTCCTAGGCCCACCTGTGTATGTGATAACAAGTACCCTCGGCTGGCCCACCCGTCTATCTGATACCCACCTTCCTTGACACTCGGCCCACCCATCTAAGATAATATATATCTGGGCCCACCCGTGTATGTGACACAATGTACCCTCGGCCGGCCCACCCATCTAATATAGTATATATCTGGGCCCACTTGTGTATGTGATGACAAGTACCCTCGGCATACCTGTCTCTCTGATACCCACCTACCTTGGTACACCCATCTACATAATATCCAACTACCTCGGCCCATCTGTCTATAGAATATTCATGTCCAATGGCCCACTCATCTACTCTACATATTCCACACATGGGCCCACCTGCCTCCATCAGAAATAATATCCCTCCCAGCCCATCCGTCAACATTGAGGGTATACATTACATCAGTCCATCATCCGCTGGCCTGTCTTATATGGGATATTATGTAGGTCGGGTGACCCGTATAATATGGAAATATGTCACTGTAATATGTGCGTCACCTACCACCTTGCTCACCCCATACCTCATTTTTCTTGCTTCTCATAGAAAGACAACCTTTTACATTGCGCAAGGCAGGGCGATTCGTCATATTGTTGTGCTTTATACCAATTTGGAAGATTTGATCGCCAAAAACAACCACAGGTATGAGGAGCAAGAAGAAAGCACTAGAGAGTATGTCTTCTTTTTCATTCCATGGTGCATTCAATTTTGCCATTTAGACAGGACCGCTTACAATATGGCTACATCTTACTCACGCAGGTTTTGCCTTGGCTGCATGAGAAGCTTGCAGAACTTGACGTCGATGATTGCGAAGACATGAAAAAAAAGGTGGGTACTATCAATTTCAAGACTTTTCGCCCTGTACATTGACAACATTATAGCTTAAGAGAGGTGCAGATGCAGCACGCGGTGATGACACCTCCACTCTCAAGGACCTAGTCGCTACATGGCTCAATGAAGACTTTCACCCTTCCCAGCTACTTTGATCTGATGACAAGCAGTCGTGCAGCTTCCTACACGACGTTTCTGGGAAGTTGCTATGCCCTTCTGAATGGGATTAGGATAATAATCTGTGAGCAATAACCTCCATTGATTACTGTACAATGTTAATGCTTGGACAGCGTGAAGGCTGGCATTCGCAATAGAACATCAGACTATATCGTGTCGGAAAACTCATGGCCACTTTTCCTGTATGAAGGTTACAAAGTCAATGGCAGCAACCTCGAGCAAGGCCTCTTTGAGTCCAAAATTCTGGTTCAGGTCAGCTGTTTGCGGCCTCAGCTTATGTGTGAGGTTTTTCTAGTTTTATGAGTGAGAGTGAGTTATGTACTGTATTAGACAACTTTGAGAGTAGCAATGTGAACCACCATTGAATACCTACTACTCGTCCATCCCATCGAAGTCAAGGAATGCGAGTGCATCATCTTTCAAATCAGTAGTGATCTTCTTGATGTGCATGAGGTCCCTGCCAGCACAAGACTTGGGGTGAATTAAGATGGCCAGAGAAAGAAATTGTACATACTGTATTGTAGCAAAAATGTCCGCCATGAGTTTGTGGAATTTGTGTGGGGCATTTGTCTTCATGCCCTTGAGAAATTGCACATGGAGAACATAGACTTCGCTAAACTGGTTCCCCGTGAAGTTGAACTTAGGAGGAGACCCCTGGGCCTTCCAAAAGAGCACTGCATACACCTACAAAATTTCGATTAAGACATAACACCACTAAATCAGAACACATTACCGAAGTACTAGTCAAAGCGACCATAGGAATGGGGACCTCAGGCCAATTGTCTCAGTTCTTTGTGATATCAACAAATTTATGTGCAAACACAGTGCCGATCGACTTCGGTCCGTTGAAATAGCAACCCTTCATCAGGTGCACCAAGAGATCACCGAGGTAAGGTTTGTGTTGCACTGGTTTTGGGACATCGTTATTCTGTGATGTGTTGGTAGGTGGGTTAGTATTGATACACACACACGAGGCCACAAAACTTACATTGAACTGCATGTAATAGTGGTAGCTGTGGTCACACCTTTCAGTCTTATAGTACTGCATAACTTGTTGATAGGACATGTACATTGGCCTGCAAAACCAGGTGTACAGGACACCGGCCGGTGTCCGCACTGCCTGTGTAGGCCGGCCATGCAGAACCTTGCAGGCCAATGTCTATGATATCTCTGCACTGCCTGTATAGGCCGGCCATGCAGAACCTTGCAGGCCGATGCCTAAGACAGAACATGATATCTCTGCACTGTCTGTATAGGCCGGTCATGCAGAACCCCCCCATAAGTAGAAAAGATATATTTCGCTGATGATGTAGGACCCCTGCAGGTTCATGCCTCATATAGAGAATGATATTTCTATGCTACTTATATAGGTGAAACCAGCATATCAAAGTACAGTTATCAATCAGTACTTGAGATGTGAAATTGAAAAATGAAGTACTGTGCTTTTACAACACTTTATACAAACTTGGTTGTATTTTTCCCAGCAAGTAGTATATGTCAAAATTGCATATCTGAAGTTTCAGAGAAAAATATAAAACTGTTCATGGACAACACTCAAACAGTGAAGCGACCTTTTTTTTGCTCATTATCACTCCATGAGACATGTGACTCATTAGCAAAATCATTATCAGTTGCCAAATAGCAGTTCAGAGGTATCATTGAGGCCATAAAGTGAATTGTGGATGTGTGAGATGCATTTTGTATCCTGGAGTGATAGTGTCTCATGGACCAATTGATAACTGTAGATCTGGCCAACCTTGCACCCTGAATATTTATGCAGGCTGTCCTAAATTCTCTAATATAAAATGAGATTCCATACAGGAGTAAGTCTAGCCAACCTCACTCATGTAACCAAAGATGTATCTCATATGGGATAATATAAATGGTGACTGAATAAAAAATAAAAATACAGTCTACCTACACTCCTTACATGGTGACTAGGGAGGCTGGCTTAATGGGCCAATATGTTATTCAGAGGCCGGCCGGCCATAGTCTACATACTGCACAGACTGGCTGGCCCAATGGGCCAATATGTTATCAGTAGCCCGGCCGGCCATGTTCTACATATTGTACAGACTGGCTGGCCCAATGGGCCAAACAGTGTTCAGTGTCGGCCGCCCCTGCCCTGCATACAGCATAGGGTAGCTGGCCCACTGGGCCAATATAATATCAGGAGGGCGGCCGACCATGGCCTACATGCTGTACAGACTGGCTGGCCAATAGGCCAATAAGGTATCAGTGGGTTGGTCATTTCCTCTGTGTATACTCTGCTAACATCAATGTTACTCAAAATATACATGAAAATCGAGGTGTATATGACAACAAACTGCAAGAAGGGAATTCTAAGGTATTGTGCTAATGATAATGTCTCAGTTCTTATACTTCTTTGAAGCTACTTTGTCTCTGGCAGAGCGACGAGGAGGATTAGGAGGAGCAGATGTCTTCACCTTTTTCATGACTGAATCATCCACATCTGTTGCTGGGCATTTACCCTTCCCTTTTCCCCCAGTGTTAGTACTGCTTGCCTTCTTTGATGTGGCAGCCCTCTCCTCAGTGATCCGAGACGTCTCAGCAACCCTCTTCTCCTCAGCAACCCTCTTCTCCTCAGCAACCCTCTTCTCCTCAGCAGCCTTCTTCTCCTGAGCAACACAAGCCTCCTCAACAACCCAAGCCTCCTCAGCCACTCTCTTTTCCTCTGCCACCCTTGCCTGCTCCACCTCCCTCCTCTCTTTCACCTGCCTTTTGTTCTCCAGACGCCTCATATGAACTTCTTCCCCCACTGTCATCTGCTTCTCATTACCATCTGGAAGCATTGCATCCACCTTCACCTGGATTCTGGTAATTGCCTCTTCAACCTTATCTCCTACCTCTATGCCAAGGATGGAGTCGCCCAAATATTGAGGCACATCATCTCCAGCCTCATCTGCCTCATACTCCTGAGCGCAGCGACACTCACGAAGGAGGAGTCCAAGGCCCAGGACAACAATCATACCCCAACCACGGGATTTGATGATATAGTTGCCTAGTTCCTCCAAAGCCACAATGGACGCCTGAATATTATTGTGCATATTTTGAGGTAGATAGGGCTCAGACCACGTCCAAGATGCCCAGACAGGCAGATGTTGCTTTCTAGCCTTGCCCTTAGGATCTGGAGTTTACTTTTAAAAAGAGTCAAATTTAATGCTGTATCACAAAAGTAGTGAATTATACATACTGTGTTGGAAAGTTTTTGAACTGTGGCCAACAGATGATGGTATGATGGGAGGTTAGAGAGGGATTGAAGATAACTGACTGTGTCACCACCCATATGGAATTTTGGGCAGGAATTAGAAAGAGATGGGGTGTGACGTTCCAAGTCTTCCTCTTTGTCAGAAGCAAGATTGGCTTGGGGGGTCTTCTTCAGTACCTCGTCCTCATCCGATGATACCTCGACATATTTTCCCTTCTTCCTTGATTTTTTACTTACATCCCCCTTCTTAGCCAGTGAATCATAGAAGTCGCCTTCCTTATACCCAACAAACCGTACAATTGGTTCATTATGGTTAGCACGATATTTCCAAAGTGAAAAAATCATACT